GGCCAAGCAGCATCATAGGAGCTGCTCCTATGATGCTGCTTGGCCTGCTGTGTTCATCCAGCTCTGCACCTTGTTGTCTCGGATTCTCCAGCATCTGCAGTTCCTACTATCTCTTATGGATATTATATATTGCATTTACAATAGAACTGAAAAATGTTAAATCAAATAAATACTAAGCAGAGACAAATCAATTCCATATAAAATGCAACTTCCACTCCTTAAATATTAAGCATTTTATTAATTATATTGCCTTTTATATCCTGGATAACCACAAGACAATTACAGCTCACATTATCAGAATAAACTTAATAAATACATTCTTATGAAACAATTTACACTGTTACTGTGCAGAAGTAAATTTTGAGTATATACCAATAGAGATATGGCTTGTCTTTGTCCACATTTATATTATTTAGTGGATCCATGCGAAACCAAGTATTCAAAGTAAAACCGTTTTGGTAAGGCCACTTAGCAATAGGCGGCAAAGCAATGGCCTGGAAAAGAGAAAGGCAACAGATTTCAGAGCCAGGAACAGCTTTATTGTGGCTTATGAACATATTGATTACATGCTGTCACTGTGATGTAATCTGCTGCAAGTCAACGTGTAGTATGGTAGTCAGCTGTATTCTCAACAAGACCTAGATCAAAAAAATCCTAAGGTGCTTAATAAGAACCTTAGCAATAAAAGACTTTGCCAGAAATCTAAGGATTATAAAGCATCTAAAAGGATGATAGAATGGTTGAGGAGGAGAGATTTAGTGAGATAATTATACAATTAATCCAAAGCAACTGAAAGCAAGGCCAGAAACTTTGCAGCAATTAAAATCACGATCAGCAAGATGCCAAACTGGAGCAGCAATGGAGTTTTGAAGACTAGTAAAGCTGGTGGCAGTTGCAAAGATTGATGGGGCAGGCAAGGTTATGGAAGGGTATGAAAGCCATGATGAAAAACTTAAAATTGAAGCATTGCTAGATTTGGAACCAATGCTCATGTTTATGGAAATACTGGTCAAAGTAGGAGGTCTGGAATGCATGTGACTTACAATTCTACCAGATCCACAGCTACATTTATTTTTCTTCCTTACACACTGCTTCCAGTAAGAAGTACATTTGTTCTCCCAGTTTCTCCATTTCTCTGACATCTATTCTAATGTTGTTGCCTCTTAAAACAGCATTTTCAACAAGTCTTCCCGTTTCCTCCCCAAGGACATCCACTCCCACTTCCCCCTCTATGAATGACAAAGTCATTAACTTTGCCTGACTAATTTTCCAACTTCTGCCCATATCTGTTCTTTTTCCTCCTAGAACCACAATAATGTTCCCCTTGTCCTTACTTTCTGTGCCTCCATTCAGTCTGCAAGCATGACCTCGGCCCTCTGACCGCTCACTATTTCAATACACCATTTTCCTCGTGCTCACATTTCTCTCATCAGTCAGCTGCAGTGTTCCAGCGAAGCCCACTGCAAACTGGAGGAACAGCACTTGATTTTTTGATGAGGAACTTTATAACTTTCAGGACTCAACATTAAGTACAACAACTTCAAAGCATGAATTCTTTGCTTAGATATAATATCTGTTCAAATATTACTTAATTTGAGTAAGTCATGTAACTATTTCAAATGTCTACCAAATGGTAGATGGGCAGTGCAAAAGTTGAATTATGAGGAAAGATTATACAAACCAGGATTTTACTCCCTGAAATTTATAAAGTTATGGAATGATCTGCTTGAAGTTTACAAAATATTAAGTGCAACTAATAGAGTAGATAGAAATAATTATTTTCTGCTGGTTGTGAAATCAAGGATTAGGGGATTTAGTCAAAAATAGGAATGAGCTTTTTCATGAATGGAGTTAGGAAGTACTTCTATTTATTATGAGTGTAGAAGTTTGAAAGTATGTTCTACAAATTACTGTCAATTCTTAGCTTCAAAACTGAGATCAATAAGTATTTTATAACCAAAGATATTAAGAGATATAAGTGATTATATGGAGGTACACCGTAGATTGACTGTGATATCCTTGAATGGTAGAATAGATTCGACAGTGTGAACATAACTCGATATGCAAAATGTGATGGTGAACATAAATTGGTGAGAGTTCAGACACAGGATCAAGAGTTTTGGTTAAGCACAAGGTTGCATTACCTAGAAGCCAGGAGAACATTGACATAGTCAAGTCCAAAGAATACAGCAGCAGGAGTTTATATTTTGTATGTCATGACAGATTAATTGTCGTGTTGCATAAAAAAAATCCATTACTGTTTGTTGAAACGTACCTACTCAACTTTTCATTCCATTCACTAAATACAACAAATTACAAACAGGAAGTCAACAGCATTTCTCCTTGCTTCCTGCTATGTACTTTTTCTACTATCCCTTATTCCCCCACTGTTCAAAAAAAGATCTCAAGAATTACTTGTCCTCATGCTCTTTCTACTATAAACAAATACTTCAGCTATGACTGGATCTAGTGCCCTTTCCCCACTTTATGTCAACAATACTTCAGGTATGACCTGGTGCATTTGTCCAAGAGAAGGCAAGGAACTGAGGGAGTGAAACAAAAAGGTGGAAAGGGAAACTGAAAGAAGGAAATTAAAAATAAATAAGGGATGAGAAGAAAAAGCTAATTAGAAAAAACCGTGGAGATGTGATGAATAAAACTGAGAGAAAAAAACTAGAAATACAAAACCACTCACCTGGTTTTATAACAAATTAATACTGCCTATATTTTTCTTAGAATGCAAGGCTGCATAATTGAACATAGACCAAACATTTATGTAAGAAAAACTGCAAATCAGTGACAGATGAAAGTCAATATAAATTGATGCAAGGTGAGGTACAGAGGGAAAACCAGGCAAAATGCATATTCTAAGAATACTTGCTAATGGGTGAAGATGAAAAATATTCAAGATTGAAGTTGAAAATGCTCTTAAGCAAGTTAGTAGAAATGATGTATAAAATGTAGAGATTGGTGGCAGGACTAGGCAATTCTGTACTTTGAGCCTGCTCTGCCATTCAGCATGATCAGAGCTAGTCCTCTAGTTCAACGCTATATTCCCATAATCTCTCCATACTCATTGATGCCTTTACTAGCTTAAAAAATGATCAACCTCTTTCTTGAAATATGCTAAGTGACTAGGCGCCACAGCCTTTGTTGTAGCAAATTCCAAAGGTCGACCACCTAAGTGAAGAAATATTTCCTCCCTTCAGGCTTAAATGGCCAGCTCCATTCCTGAGACTGTGACCCCCTAGTCTTACACTCACCAATCAGTGTAAACATCCTTCTTGCATCTAGCCCTTCTAGCCCTGTTAGAATTTTATGTTTCAATCAGATCCCTTTTCATTCTTCCAAACTTTAGTGAGTACAAGCCCAATCTCAAAATCACAGGAGTGTAAAAGCACAGAAGGAAACCATTCAGCCCATCAGATCAGCACCGTCTCATTAAATGAACATCATCACCTCATGCCAGTCTCCTGCTTTTTCACCCCCTTAACTCTGCAAACTATGTTTACCCATGTATTCATCCAATGCCCTCTTGAATGTCTTGAATTGCACTTGCCTCCAACACACTTCAAGCAGTGCATTCCATACTCTAATTACTTGCTGTGAGAGTTTGTCCTCACTTTACCCTTGCTTCTTTTGCAGATCCCTTTAAATCTAAGCCCTCTTGTGCTTACTAATTTTACAAGCAGGAACAGTTTCTCCCTATCTACTCTACCGAGCCCATTCATGATTTTGAACATCTCTATCTGATCTCCTCTTAGCCTTCTTCTCTCCACGGTGAAGAATTCCAACTTCTTCAATCTATTCTCATAAGTGAAATTCCTCATCCCTGGAACCATCCTTGTAAATCGTTTTGACACTCTGTGCAATGCATTCACGTCCTTCCTATAATGTGATGCCCAGAACTATACAGAATATTCTTACTGAGATCTAACAAATATCTTATATGATTTCAGTTTCACCTCCTTGCTCTTGTACTCTATGCTGCTATTAACAAAGTCAAGGACACCACATGCTTTACTTACTGATCTGTCTCCCTGCCCTGCCATTTTCAATGCTCCAAGCACAAATACATCTAGTTTCTCTGCCCCTGAGCCCCTCTTAGAACCAAATCTTTCCACATACTGCAGTGCTGCCATCCCTGGTATCAGCCTAGTGAACCTTCACTGCACTCTCTCCATGGCAAGTATATCCTCAATTAGGTAGGGAGACTAAAACTGCATACATTACTCCAGATGTTGTCTTGCCAAGACCCTGTATAACTGCAGTAAGGCATTCCTACTTCTGAACTCAAATCCTCTAGCAATGAAGGCCAACATACCATATGTCTTCCTAATTGTTTGCTGCACCTTACTGGTCACTTTCATTGACTAGTGTACAAGGATACCTAAATCCTTTTGTACAGCCAAAGAATTGCAGATGCTGGAAATCAGAAACAAAAACAGAAAGAGCTGGAAAAACTCAGCAGGTCTGTGGAGAGAAAGCAGAGTTAACATTTTGGGATCAGTGACACATCTTCACAAGGATCTTTGTTCTGAAGAAGGGTCACTGGATCAGAAACATTAACTGTGCTTTCTCTCCACAGATGCTGACAAACCTGCTGAGTTTTCCAGCTATTTCTGTTTTTGTTTTCCAATATATTACCACTTTAAAACTCTTCCTGTTTTTCGCATTGAAGTGTATAACTTCACATTTTTACACATTATGCTGCATTTGCCATGTGTTTGCACATTCGACTTGTCTAGATCAACCCGAAACCTCCTTCCATCCTCCTCATAACTCACAAGTCTACCCAGTTTTGTGTCATCAGCGAACTTAGAAATACTGCATTTGGTTCCTTCATCCAAGTCATTTATACGTATCATGAATAGCTGGGGCTCAAGCTCTGATCTCTGTATTACAAACACTAGTCATCACCTGCCAACTGAATGAAGGCCCGTTTATTCTTATTCCAGTATGTGAACCAGCATTCAATTCATGCCAGTATATTAATCCCGATCCCATGTGCTTTAATTTTGCCCATTAGCCTCCTATGTGGAACCTTATCAAAAGCCAAACTGAAATCCAAATAAATCCAGTTCTACCTGATCTATTCTATTAATAACATCTTCACAAAGTTCCAAGAGATTAGTTAAGCATGATTTCCCTTGCAATAAACCAATGCTAACTTTGTCTAATCACACTAGTGCTTTCCAATTGTTCTGTTATCACTTCTTTTATAATAGATTCTAGCATTTTCCACACTATTGATGTTAGGCTAACTGGTCTGTAATTCAATATTTTCTCTCCTTATTTTTTAAATAATAGGATTACGAATGTTACCATCCAATCTGTATGAACCAGTCCAGAGAGTATAAAAGATGGTCACCAATGCATCCATATTTCCAGGGCCACTTCCTTTAGAACTCAGAACATAGAACACTATGGCACAGAAACAGGCCCTTCAGACCATGATGTCACTCTAAATTAATCTCATCTGCCTGCACATGATCCATATCCCTCTATTCCCTGCCAATTCGTGTGTCTAAGTGCCTCTTAAACATTGTTATCATCTCTGCTTCTAGCACCTCCCCTTGCAGTTCTGTTAGCCTTTAGCCTTGTTAATATCACTAGTACCCTTTTTTTAAAACTAATACTGATTTTCTTCAATTCCTTCCTCTCACTGGGTCTACTTAATATACATTTATTTCATTGCAGCAAACAGAACAAATAGAATTCTGGATTATGTCAAATTAGTGGAACACAAATATGAGGATATCAAGTTGGAACTATTCACAGTGCCTCTTGAACATTCTGTTAAGTGTTAGAAACATTGCAACACAAGGGCAGGAGTGGGTAATTCAGCATGCTCTGCCTTTTTATATCAAGAATCTAGATTGTCTACCTCAACACTAATTTCCTGTACAATCCCCATAATCATTAACATCATTAGTATCTAGAAATCACTACCTCTCCTTGACTAAGATTATAAAGCCTTTGGCATTGAGAATTCCAAAGACTCACAAATTTGAGTTATAAATTCCTTCTCACCTCAGTCCTAAATGATTAGTTCCTTATTCTTGAGGTTGCATCACATGGTGCTCAAATGCCACCTCTCTCTCTCTCTCCCCGCCACCCCCCCTCCACCCACCCCCCAAATCCCCACAGACATGGCAAACATTCTTCCCTAACTGGCTTTAAAAGAATTTTCTAAGTTTCAGTTACATTACTTCTCATTCTTCTAAACTCCAGAGAATATAAGTCGAGACTCCTCAAAGGGCAGCCTCATTAACTTATGAATTAGTCTAGTGAACACCTGCTGTACTTAACAGAAAGTACGAACTTCCTTAGCTAAGCAATATTCCAGGTGCGGTCTAACCAAAGTTCCACTTAATTGAAGCACGACTTCTTCACCAGGCTTTTTAGAATTCTTAAAGATGTTTATACACAAGGTTAAATACAGGATTAAACAACATCTCTAATAATCTTACTGCTGCACTCCGTCCAGGAAAGTTGAAGAAGGTATCTGGGCCTTGCCTCTGTGGCATCTGATTTAGAATTGACAGTAATTTAACTGCATGCCTTGGCTGTGAAAAGATTGGGAAAAGAGCCTTCAATCCAGTTGCATATGATAGATTAGATTTTATCATTGTAATTTAGTTGATACATTTATCTTAATAAAAACATTGGTCACATCAGAACATGGAGACAAAGTTCATACACCGAAAATCAACTGTTATATGCTCTAACAGCAAGTGACAGAATGAGAGAAATGGAGGTATCTCAGAGGATTAAAGGATTGAAGGAGATTACCAAGATTGAAAGGGGCACAGCAGTTGACAGCTTTTAAAACAGAGATGAGAATTTTAAGATAGACGTGTTGTTTGATCTGGAACCGATGCATGTCAGCAAGCAGAGGTGATGTGTGAACAGGACGTCATAGAACTAAGGACATCAAGCTTTTAGAAGGTAGCATGCGGAAGGCAAGCCATAAGTATTTGTAATATTGTAATAGTGGTAACAAAGACATGGATAAGGGTTTCAGAATCAAAATGAGTTTAAGCTGGACAGAGTCAGGCAGTGTTATGGTGGCAGAAATTGGCTGTCTTAGTGAAGACACAAATTTGTCATCAGAAGCTCAAAGTAGCTATAAACACCAAAGATGCAGACAGCCTAACCAGACAATTACCACAGACAGGGATACAGTTGGTTATCAGAGAACAGAGCTTGTAAAGGGGACTGAAGATAATGGGCTCAGCCTTCCCAACACCTAATTGGACTAAATTTCATCCAGAAATAAGAAAGTTCCAAGGATAGATGTCAAGCAACACACCAGAGGTGACTGTACAGGAGCAAGATGATAAGCAACTGTGGTTATGCTTCTGGTTATAATTAAATAAATAAGAATAGAACCATGTGAGAGCAGTCCCACACAGCTGATCTACAGTAGAGATACACTGGACATTGACAGTGTAGTCAACCATTTCAAAGATGGCAGAAAGATACAGGAGAAAGAGGAATTACAGCGGCTCAATGGTTAGCACTGCTACCTCATAGGTGCTCTGGTTTTCTCCCACAGTCCAAAGATGTGAAGGTTTGGTGGATTGGCCATGCTAAATTGCCCATAGTGTTCAGGGATGTGCAAGCCACGTGGATTCGCCACAGGAAATGTACAGGGATAGAATAGGGGTGTTGATTTGGGTGGGATGCTGCCCTTCAGAGGTTTGGTTCAGACTTGATGGACCAGATGGCCTGCTTCTACACTGTAGGGATTCTATGCTGCTATGATTCAAAGAAGGACAGCTTGTCTTTATCACAGACAAGTAGGATATCATGCACTACCTTAGACAAGACCAATTTTGGTACTCTAGGAGAGCAGAAACTTAAGTGGAAGGCATCTAACTTGGGGTCTGGGAAAGATGGGCATTGCTGGGCTTAATTGATCATACTCCTGCTTCAGTCAGATCATCAATTCAAGACCCACTCCAGAGCTTGAATGCAACAATCCAGGCTGATACTTCAGTACAGTAGTATTGGAGGACCCTCTTATGGATGAGACATTAATCTGCATCTCTCTCTCCAGTGCCCTCCCCACACAAACACACATCCTAATCTTTCAGGTGGAAGTAACATATACTGCAAAACAATTTCAAAGAGGAACAGTGGATTAATCCCAGATGTCTTTGCTCAATATTTATTTCACAATCATCATACAAACAGGTTATTTTGGCATTATTACATTACTGTCTGTTCTGCACAAATTGACTGCCATTTTCCGACAGTGGCTATACTTCAGGAAGTAATTAACTAGCTATACAGAGATCATGAAAGATGCTGTATAAATCAAAGTCTTTGTTTTTACCTTTTTGGATTTGGAAGGCAACAACTCAATCAAGGCTCTGAAGAAAAGATGGCATTTTGCAAACTTATTTTCCTGAAGGGTGGTAACAGCGAATTTGAAAGTGAAAGGGATAATATACAAAGGGGGAGAATCAAGGCAACTAATATGGGCAATCGCAAAGTGAAGTAGCATGGTCAATAGTGTAATAGGAATGTGATTTTGGGAGTGGCATCTGGGTCTCTAGAACAAGATTTGTTTAGACAGGACATGATGTAAGATAGGAGATAAACAAGAGAATGCAGTAAGACTAGACTGGGGTTTGGTGGGGGTTGTGGGGAAGAGCTTTGATTAATAGTAAACCTGGAGCTTACTGAACATGGTAACTAAATCAAATGATATCAATAGTAGTAACATTGAAATTCTTGAGCTCCTTGCACTTTTCGTAGGATTATTGTTACACACTACTGCAAAAAAAAACTTGGTCTCACTGCATTAACATTAAACCTGGAGCTTACCCAAAATCCATTTTCTCCACGCAGCATGCTGAAAAGCAGCTTGAGTTCCTTGACAGTAATGCTATAGCTTGCTAAAACGCCCAACATATCAACCAACAAATCTGGAAAGAAATATTTCACACCGTAAGTATGAACGTTGTATATTGATACATTTTCTGTTCTAGCATGTGAAAAACACAAACCAGAAAGCAACTTGAGAAATTAAATCAGCATTGATGGGAATTACAATTGTCCTGTAGCTATAAAAAAATTGACAAGGTCCTGTCAATTACTAATGCTTACCCGTTTAACAGGTTCAAACCCATTTATTCCAGATTCACCGCAAATGGCTTTAATGTTTGGTATTCTGCTATTCTTCTGCAACTTATATTAATGAATTAAAAAAACAAATTTTATCAACCAATTTCATTTAAATGTTGATCTGAAATAAAGTAAAGTTTAAGCTGTTTTATGACTCAGTGCTGCGTCAATCTTAAACATATAAATCCACATAGGTTTACACTTCATAAAATATGATCACTTGAAACCTTTGGACTGGAGACTAATAAAGAAAATCGAAAGGAAAATATTGCTTATATTGAGAGACCGCCTACAGTGAATTTTTTATATTATCACATCAAAAATACTAAAACCACAAATAAATCTACAGATTGCAGGCACAGAGACCAACTACAAAATCTGGCTTAGAACGATTCAAGCAGTTAACATTAACTTTCACTGCTGGTTCTGTTTGATACTATACACAGTTAACATATTTTGTGGTGTATGCATATTTTGCACAAAGTGTGATACATATACAGATGCAAGAATTAGAGAGAATAACTTGGTTTCGGATTTTGATTGCTTCATTAACAAGTGCTAAAGTTAATTCATTTTGTTGCAGTTACAGCTCTCCTACAGTTAAAATGAAATTGCAAGAGTTTGTTCCACTGTGCCAATCTTCTTGGGACAGTTAGGATTGGCAAGCTATTGCACTCAAGGGAAGGAAACCACAGCGCAAAACAATTTTATTTTTGCTTACAGGATCAATACCAACTGCAGATATAACTGGGCTATGAGGTGAAATCCTGCCAGCCAAAATTCACATTGCCTGCCATGGCATGCTTAGAATCGATATTCTCTAATGCTCTCATACAGCAATGTGTCTTAAACTCTACATTTTTGTCAAATAATAGCATTGAGAAAAATAAATATCATTGTTCGGATAATATATATTGTTCGGCATAATTTTATTTTAATTTGGCATGACATTTTGGCAAAACACCAGAACTGCTAAATTGAAAAAAAGCAGTGAGAAGACTCACTTTACACATTTGTAGTTACTGGTTTGAACTAAATGCCGAGCAATCAATCAATCCAACCTTTCTGTGTAAGACTCAACAAATTACTCCATTGTCTCTTGGGTCACCATTAAGTGGTTTCAACCCAAAGCCACATTGAACATGGAAAGTTCTATCCACCAGAGAGTGGCTTAACCACAAAAATGAAAGTAATGTTAGTCCTATTAATTTATTAATATATAAGACAATGTGTATTCTTGTTGTCAAACTCAAATTTGCATGAGAAAAGCACATCATTCAATAAAGAGATTGAAGAAAAATGCCATTAAGGAAATGCATCCCAACTCCACAAAGAACAACTTCAGGCAGCTAATAGAATTGCACTCATATCCATCAAATTGTGCAATAACAACAGCTTGTAAATGAACAAATAGACAGGAATTAAAATGCAAGATGACAACACAGTACATGGCAGTTAAAGTAAGAACAGGTTCGATTCATTTTAAAATACAAGCAAACCTCTGATATCACCGGCTATGAATCAAGTATATGTATTTCCATGAAAATGGAAACAGTCAGGGCATATACTGCATACTGTTATGCAGTACAAAATCGTATCAAATTACCAATAAAATGCCCTAATTATCCTAAATATTTAAAGTACCACCGTATTATCAAATTAACTAGTTTAAAGATCATTAGCTACCACAATATGCTAATTCTGTCTGTCTCTGTCCATTAACTAATCCTCATTCCATGCTAATATATTATTGCAATCCCACAATAACCTCGCGTGAGCACCTTATCAATTTTTGAAAATCCAATACACTGTATCTACTAGTTTTCCTTTCTCTATTGTACTAGTTATGTCCCTAAAATACTCTTAGAATATTTGTTAAACATTTGAGAGTGGCACAGTGGTTAGCACTGCTGCCTCACCATGCCAGGGACCTGGGTTTGATTCCAGCCATGGGTGACCGTTTGTGCGGAGTCTGCATGTTCGCCCGTGTCTGCGTGGGTTTCTTCTGGTGCTCCTGTTTTCTCCCACCATCCAAAGATGTGCAGGTTAGCTGGATTGGTTATGCTAAATATTGTCCCACAGAATCTAAGGATGCACAAGTTAGGTGGGCTGGCCATGATAAAAACCACATGCAAGATTATGGGGATGTGGTGAGGTTGTGGCTCTATTGGGATGCTTTTCAGAGGGTCATTAGGCCAAGTGACCTCTTTCTGCACTGTAGGGATTCAATGATATAATTTCCCTTTCATAAATCCTTAACAAATAAATGCTGACTCTGTCATGTTATCTAAGTACCCTGTTCCTATGTCCCTAATAATAGACTCTAGCAGATTAATTATTACTGATATTAGTCTAAATGGCCTATAGTCTCTAATTAACTCTGTTCCGTCTTTCCTTAGGAAATGTTCCTGAATCTAAGGAATTCTGAAAGATCAAAATCAATGCATCCATACAGCTACCTCTTTTTGGAGCAAGTCCAGAGCTACCCATTCTGATATTGAGTGTGCTATGCACTGGCTATAACAGTTTTCCCAAACACATTTTAAATATCCTGCACCCTCAATGCCTTTTTTATTTGGTGTCATCTCAGTTAGCATTAGGGTAGTTGAAATTCTGTGCCACTGACCTTTAACACAGGACCAAAACAGTTATCGGTGTTACAAATAACATACGCTGTGACTATAACAAAGGTAAACTATATTTACTCATCCTTTCTGACCTATCTATAGCCTTCAATGAGGTTAGCCATACCATCCACCTCCTGTGCTTCAGCATGGTAGTTCAGAGGGTGCAGCTGATCTCTCAGCTACCGCTTTTTCCACCTGTGTAGTAACTGCTGATTCCATTCCTGTGTTAACTCATTTCACATGCCTTTGTTACCACTCCCCTTGACAATTCCACATGCTCCAGGCTGATCTCCCACATTCAACTGCAGGATTGAAGTCACAGGCTTATTACAGAAGTAGGCCACTGCTCATTCGGCTGTGCTGATTCTGAGCATTTCGAATGAATGCCAAGCTACCTCCTTTTCCTCAACCCTATTAACAATGTTTCTATTTAAATAGTCATCTGACACCTTCTTGAATGCTTCAATTTGATCTGCCTCCACCAAACTTCCAGGCAACTCATTCCAAAAGCAGACCACTGTGTAAAAAAGATTTTTCTCGTGTCACACTTGTTTCTTCTGCAAAACTATGCCCCAGGTTCTCAATCATTTTTTAAGTGGGAACAGTTATTCACCACCTACTCTATCCAGACCCCTTCTTTCAAATCTTCGCTCTGCCTTTGCCTCTCTAAGAAAGACAGTCCTAACTTCTCCTATCTATCCTCATAACTGAACCTTCTCATTGCTGGAACCAATCTTGTTAACTCTTCTGCACTCTCTCTAATGCATTTATGTCCTTCATAAATTGCAGCACCCAGAACTGTACACAATATTTTAGCTAAGTTTAATCAGCGTCCCATAAAGTTTAGCATGACATCCCTGCTCTTGTACTCCACACCACTATTAAGGTAGCCTTCAATACAGTACTCTCTACTTGTCCTGTCATTTTTATTGACCACTGTACACCCAAGTGTCTCTGCTCCAGAAATACCTTTTAGAATGGTACCGTTGGTTTTATACTGTCTCTTGATGTACCAAAGTCATACTTCCCCACTTTGAGCATCATCTACTATCTTTCTGCCCACTCCAGCAATTTGTCAATGTATTTGTGAAATTCTACACTGTCATCCTTGCAGTTTACAACTGTCCTAATTTTTGTTTCATCTGTAAACACAATCCGTGTCTGCGAGGGTTTTCACTTGGTGTCCTGGGTTCCACCTACAGTCCAAAGATGTGCAGGTTAGGTGCACTGGCCATGCTAATTTCCGCATTGTGTCCAGAGATGTGCAGTCTAGGTGGATTAGCCTTGGTAAATGTGGAATTACAGGGATAGGGTGAGTGGGTGGGTTGGGGTGGATGCACTCAGAGTGTTGGTGCAGACTAGATGTGTGAATGGTCTCTTTCTGCACTGTAGGGATTCTATGATTCTATGTGGGGTTAAGTATAAAAACACTATGAAGAAGACCACATAACCCAGGTCAAAAGTAAGGTCAACGTTTTATAGTCACTCTTATGGCTCAGGCTAATATAAACTTAGGATGACACATTTCCATCTTTTGTCTGAAAACCTTACAGTCACAAACGAGGTACCATTGAGCAATTTGAAGCCCTACTTGAAGTTGTGCTTTAGTAATAGCTGTTATATATTTTTCTCTGTATCATCTGTCGATTTGCCTTAATCACTGGACATCTTGCATTGAAATATATACCATGAAGCACTGCCAAAATCCTCTGTTCTCTTTTACCACTTTTTGTTTCCTCTGTTTTCCATTTCTGTCTACTAATTTTGTGCCTATTTCCAGCTATGCTGAATAAAATACTTAAGTATATACTTCAAAGAGACATGATTGAGGTCTTTAAATAATAAAAGACACGGATTTGGTCTGTGGAAATAGATTGAATGGGTGTTTAGATGATAGAGGACAAAGATGCACAATTGTAAGTTACGTATGCATTGTGTAAAGCTGCATAATATATTTATTTTCAGAATTGTGACCTATGTAACAGGTTGCTGGTTCACAGGGTGAGTGTGAATTTGCTGAAAACATTCAAAAGGATGTCAGATGAACTTCTGACTGAGGCCAATACACTATATATAGGTGAGATATTGATAAATGCAATTCTGAAACCTGGCTGATTGGGAAATTCTTCTTTGATCCTCAGTGGCAGAGCTTTCTTTCAGTCCTAAATTAGTTCTGCGTGCATATTCCTTGGATTTGTAGCCTTTCCAGCATAGGTGCCTAATGAATGGGGTGGCAAGTAAGATGCGTAGGACTCAAATTGTATATCTTTCAAGAAGATAATATGAAAGGGGTCTTTTTCTATCCTTCATTCCTGTATGTATCATTTTGTCTTTTTATGTGGCAAGTGTAATTTAAGAAGCATGAAGAAATAGTGGAAAAACTAAAAAAACAAGTAAAAGGAGGAGATATGAATAAGGGCTAAAGTGAGACAATTGATTATGATTGATAATTAGATACATACGAATAACCAAAGTATCTTTTCAAAGCGTGATGGGAAAAGTAGCCAATACTGTTACCATTAAGGTGATATGTAGCTAATTCTCTGGAGACCTAGCTAAGAATGCAAGTTATAAAGCATAACAACCATCACAAGGATGAAACTGATGAGGGAGCAAATGGGCTGCAGGGGGAGTAAGTTAGATGCACAGTCATAACAACACATCACACAGCCAACATGATAATGAAAGGGCATCTGCAGAGTATGCACAGTCCTGAAAAAGGATATGTGATTTAAGTGCTAACAAGTGAAGTGTAAAAACTTATCATACAGGAGAATTAAGACTATAAGTTGTCGTGCTAACTGCTTTTCGGAGATCTTGGCAGACTTAAACCAAATGTGCCTCCCAGCATATCCTTGTAAAATAAAGTTAGTAATTTCTGAACCCAAGATTCAAAGCAGCAGGTAAACATCGTTAACATACGAAATAGGTGAAGAAGTAGGCCATTTGATTCTAGCCTTCTCCACTATTCAATTTCATGGCTGATCTGTTTGTCTATTGAATTCCACATTCTTATCAACCCCAATAACTCACATCTAACAAGAATCTATCCACCTCCATCTTAAAAATATTTAATGGCTCCGCCTCCACTGCCTTCTGAGGCAGTGTGTACCAAAGTCTCACAACCCTCAGAAAACTGCGCCCCAACTTCAAAACAGTGCCACACAGTCATTAACTCAGTCATGACCAGTTAGGATCTTACATACTTCAATTAAGTCACTCATCAATCTTGTCAACTTCAGTGGAACAAGCCTAGCCTGTCTAGCCTATCCTCATAAGACAACCTTCTCATTCTAGGTATTAATCTAGTAAGCCTCCTCAGACCCCACATCCAAGACATTTACATCCTTCCTTAACAATGTATACAGATTTCAAAATGTAGTCACAACAATGCCCTGTATAACTGAAACATAGCATCCTTACTTTGATGTGTGATTTCTCTTGTAATAAAAGATAGTATCACATTAGCCTTCTTGATTTATATGCTGTACCTGCATTCTAACATTTTGGGACTCACGCACCAGAACAAATAAATCCCCCTACATCTTGAAATTCTGCAGTCATTGCACATTTACACAATTCACTGTCTTTTTAATCTTCCTGCCAAAATGAAGAATTTACAGAGAAGGCAAATGTGAGGTAGCTAATGAAAAGCAAGAAAAAGAAATCACTACTAGATGAGGTGAAAAACAATTCATGAAGTGAAAATATAAGGAGAGAGGAATTAAGCAGAAGAGAGGCTTTTAGAAATGCGAAAAACAGATGGATGGGAGTGAAAAGCAAAAATGGGGGAGAGTGAGTAAGGTAAGTGATGCCAGAAAAGGGCAGAGATTATATCACAAGTCTTTGAAACACAAAAATATCTCAATCAAAAATTACTGAACTTTGCCTTGCCAATTTACTTCTTTTCACAGCAATATCTTTTGATTAAACATAAAAAGTCAAACAGTATATTTGATATGACAATATGGATCAAGTGATTCTATCTCTGGGCCCAATTTTAATCCATTCAAACCCATCCACTTGCACAAAGATCAAATTGGGCCCTATATTTTAGCAGATTTAATATTATCAGTACGGCTTAAATAATTAATACCTGCTATCATGTCATCCACTTTGCTCATTTTTAATAGCACTTGTTCAATGAGGCCAACCTCTGTGCTTGCTTGAAGGTTGCGTACACTCTTGCGCAGAATGGCTGTGAACATACTCCAAATCTCAGCCTGGCAGGTGACTTCACAGTGTTCAAGAAGTTCTATCATGCATGCTATGCTTTCTGCATCCTGAATGATGAAGTTAATTTCCAAGTCAAATTCTCCACCAACTAGCTGTCAGAGGGATGGATAAAGAAAAAAGCAGAAAATGCTTAACAGTTTCATTTTTAAACTATACAGTTTCATAGTATTTAAATTAATCTATTTCAACCAGATTCAGGCTGATGTCCAACACCAACAATTTTTATAAAGCTCCCCTTTGGTACAGAAAACTTATCTATAAACAAAATAAGTAAGGCGGTTTCAGTGCTGAATCGAAACTGTATCATGAATCTGGAATTCACTGAATTATCTATGAAAGCAGTAGAAGCATTAAAGACAAAAATAGAAATTGCTGGGAAAGCTTAGCAGGTCTGGCAGCATCTGTGAAGAGAAATCAGAGGTGACATTTTGGGTCACTCAAACTGAAACGTAAACCCTGATTTCTCTCCACAGATGTTGCCAGACATGTTGAGCTTTTCCAGAAATTTCTGTTTTACAGCATCCACAGGTCTTTCAGTTCTTAACCTATTGACTTTCATGCTTAAGACCCAATAATGGAGCCATATCCAAACTAGGAAACAACATAATCAGAGAAACAAAAGGAGATGTGCAAGAAGAAAATTGAGAACATTAAAAATCATTTATTAGAACAAAAACCTTATTTTCTTACAATGTAAAATGCACTAAAGAAATTCCTACCACGATGAAAGTCCAATGAAACTTGCTAAGAGCTAAAGAATGCTTTTGGACTTATTAAAATAACACCAATGATTCACTGAAAAGCAAAACTGGCATTGGTGAAATGACTTGTTTCTATGTTTCATACTTTTGTTGAAATTCCCTCTCAAGGTCTAAAATTTTCCCATTCATACAGCAGTTTGGCTTTTTTTAAAAAAATACATAATAAAAATACAGTAAATCCAAAATCAACAATAAATTATCAAAATTAACAAAACAAGAATTTGAATGCATAACTTCAACATGACAGTCTTGTAATTAAGTTTCATTGACAGTGCAATATAACATGCTGAATAGTATTTGCTTCATTGATTGATAATTTGTCATAGCTCAGTATGTTACTATTGAGACTGCAGACATTCTTAGGCCTCTCCCAAAACAGCATAGCACTTTTAGTTAAGATATTCAGTGTTCACTTCAGTGCTTTACATCTGACAGTTAACTATGCAAATTTTTTTATTTGTTATAATTTTACCAATGTGCTGAGTATCTTTTACAATTTATAGATTTATTGCTGCCAAAATTCCACCAATCTATTCAGTAATAGTCTTATTTGCTCCAAAATAGAATTGCACTGATAATGGCTGTATCTGGCAGGCCCCTTGAGGAATTTATAAATTATTGTCACCCCAATGTAGAGTTGAAGAGCATTAAAAACTGAGTTCATCATAATCTGCCAATTATAACAACATATTTTGGTAGACACATCGAAGGAAGATCAACCTGCAATGTTAATTCTACTTCAGTGTCTAGAGATGCTACCTGACCTGCCGTGCGTTTTTTGCAAGTTGTATGTTTTTTTAATTATTTCCAGCACCTGCAGAACTTTATTCTTGTAAAAGCATCGATACATGTTTGCACCTGATAATTTTGATATAAAGCAGCCTTAAGTTTAATTCAAGAACAGCAGTATAACTCAGAATGAAGAGTTCGGGTGTAAAATGCTATCTTGGAGACTGGATCACACACTGAGTACCAAAAGAGTGTATTTCTTTTCAGAGATCTGCATTTCTGTACAGGAGTTATACCATTTACCAAGCACAAAGTAAGATGGTTATTATTGTTAAAGGTCAGTCATATCAGTACAAGGACTTTTCTGTAGGAGCACCACAGAGTAGTGTCCTCTCCTCAACCAGCTTCAGCTACTTCAATGACTTTTCCTCCACAAAGGTCAGAAGCAGGGAGTTTCGCAAATGACTGCACAAAGTTCAGTACCATTTACAATTCCTCCAATAATGAAGCAATTTATATTCATATGCAGCAAGCCCTGTTATTTGCTACTTATTTGGGCTAATACATAGCAAACAAAATTCAAGAAACACAAGTGAAAATCATAACCATCTGAAACATGAGAGAATCTAACCGTTTCCTCTTGACAGTCAATGATATTACCAATGCTGACTTATCTACTAACAACATCCTGGAGGTACCTTTTACCAGAACCCAATTCAAGATGTCTCATATACATTGTCCATGTCTCCAATGCACATAGAAGGACACAGCGTTACCAGTGTCCTGCAAACCATGAGCACGGTGCCAGGTTGCGGTCTTTATCTTCAATACTCCGGTTCCTCAGACAGCTGTACTGGCACACTGCAGACAGATTTGAATTTCATTATCAATGTCTGTCCACACTGAAAAGAGCCTCCTAAAATACAGTATGTGAATTTATTTTACGTTGTCCACAAGGAACAGTGTGGCATGTTGGAAGCTGGTTGGTAGAGGACATTTGTATTCCAGATGTTTAGACCAAGGCCCGTTTTATTTTCCTTGCTGAATGTGTCAACTTGATAGTGGTTGAGATGGTCTTGCTTATGGACTGCAAGGAACAAAGGTTGGTCAGTTTCCCACTAATCCTGCAAAAAAAATTCCACTCCAGTAGGAAGCTTCATGGATACGGAATGGTGTGTTGAATCAGAAAGATGGTGAAGGCCAATGGTGTGATGAATAGCCTTGCCTAACCTCAGCTTGCAATTCATTGAATCTGTGGTGGATCTATGTTGAGGATCACTATTTGAATGATATCATGGAGCAGCAAGGGAATGGTGATTAATTTCTGCCTGTTGACAGAGTTGAAGGCCTTTGCAAGGTCAAAAGTGGCATGCTTAAAGGTTGCTATTGCTCTCAGCACTTTTCTTGGACTGATCTTGTTTGAAAATCACGTCCACTGTGCCTCTTGATCCATCAAGGTCCAATGCATCTCTGCTCACATTTCACCGATGTTTTTAGTTTACTATAGATTTTTAAAATTAATTTTAGTATGACATTGTACAATTATATTTTCAAAAATATTGTCACAGGAATTTTACAATCAATTCAGTGCTGGTATTGACTTCAGAAGAATTTTGCAGAGGGCACTTTCTTTCAAAAGAAGAAAGATCAGTGCATCTCCCCAGCTAACGAGAGTTAACACATTCTGAGTAACATACTCATGTCAATCATGGACAAGATTTGGGGAGTCAGGAGGTGAATTACTCGCCACAATTCCTAGCCTCTGACCTGCTCTTTCAGCCACAGTACTTGTCTGACAAGTACAGTTGAGGTTCTGGTCAATGGTAATCTTTTGCCAGGGCGGTAATCTTTTGGGACGGAATAGTGGCTCAGTGGTTAGCACTGCTGCCTCACAGTGCCAGGGGCCCAGGTTTGATTCCAGCTTCGGGCAACTATCTGTGTGGAGTGTGCACATTCTCCCTGTGTCTGCATGGATTTCCTCCGAGTGCTCCGGTTTCATCCCACAAGTTAGGCGTATTGGCTATGCTAAATTGCCTATAGTATGTAGAATGGGAAATACAGAGATAGGGTAGGGGGTCAGTCTGGGTGGGGTGCTCTTTGGACGGTCGGTGTGGACTTGATGGGTCAAATTTCCTGCTTCCACACTGTAGGGATTCAATGAAATAAAAAGTGTGGATTCTTTGGCACAGTCAAGATATGCTAACATATGAACAAGAAATAAGACTAGGCCACTCAGCTCTTCGAGCCTGCTCTACAATTCAATAAGATCACAGCTGACGTGATTTTAACCTCAACTCTACACTCCTGCATAACCTCCAATCTTTCGTCCCCTTGGTAATCAAGAATCTATCTACTTCTGCATTAAAATTATTTAAAGATTCTGCATCCACTGCCTGGTCAAGTGTCCTCAGGATCTTATTTATTTAATTTAGTCTCCTCTGACTCTTCTAAATTCTAGAGGTCTCTGCTGGGGCCTCAACACTTAATAATTTGTCTGAATGATTTAGATAATGGGACTAAAGAATGTTAGCCAAACTTGCTGATGTCACAAAGATGGGTAGGAAATTGAGTTGTGAAGAGGAAGAGGACAGCTCCATTCTTGCCCCATTAAAGTTAGATCTCTGCCAATTTATCTTTCTTATTCTGAATTGTTGCCACCACGATCCTGAACCTTATGATCCAATGATCAATGCCTCCTAAATGTTCTCCCACTGACACTTGATCCATTTGGCCCACCTCATTTCCAAGAAACAGGTGCAACAATGCATTTTTCTTATTAGACTCAATACATACTGCTTAGAAAGCTCTCTTGAACCCAATTCTCAGACATGCCCCTTACACTACTAGTATCCCAGTCTATAATTGGGTAATTTGAAGTCCCCCATTATAACTCCTCCATAATGTTGGTATTTCTCTGTAATTTACCTAATTAGTTCCTCTAGATCCTTTCCACTAGATGGCAATCTACAGACTACACTGAGCAATGCAACTGCATCCTTTTTAGTCCACAGCTCAAGCCAAATTGACTTTGTCTTTGAACCCTGAGACATCATCCTTCCCCAGCACTGCAATACACCCTTTAACCAGTACTGCTTCCCCTCCTTTTCTATCCTTCCTGAACAACTTATACCCAGGAATACTTAAAATCCAAACCTGCACTTCCTTGATAACAAGGTGTAAAGCTGGATGAACACAGCAGGCCAAGCAGCACCAGAGGAGCAGGAAGGCCGA